ATACTAATATCGATATATTTTTGTCAAAATTTTATGATATCTTCAAACATATATTTTATTCAAAAATAAAAACATCATCGTTTTCTCAAAATCACATAAAGTCATATTATAACATCGAATGAGATAAAGAATAAATGAAATATTAAAATCACGATGTATCTCGCTGCATTGTGCGAGTACGCTTATAGTATATATATATATATATATATATATATATGAGGACTGGAGAGGATATGTTTCAAACCAAGTCATTTGTACAAACCGTGAAAACTATCGATTTCATTGTTTATTTTAGTGAAATTTTTTCATGAAATTTTTTGATATGACAAAGTTGTTTCAAATAATTTATTTCAAATAATTACGGACATTATCATCTTCATTCTATTAAGTTTAGTAAACAAATTTCATCAAAATGAGAAATACATGAAACAATTAAATTTTTACATAGAAACAAAAATATATGAAACATTTTCATCCTGAAATGAATTATTTGAAACAATTTCATCATATCAAACAATTTCATTAAAAAATTTCGGTAAAATAAACAATGAAATCGACAGTTTCCACGGGTTGTACAAATAGTTTGGTTTGCATCGTATCCACCCCCTATATATCATAAACTTTTTAAAACTGATTACATTCATCTCTATTGAACACATGAATCTCTTATCTTTTAAAACTGATTAAATTCGTCTCCATTATCTATAAAACCGGTCACTGTGGTAAAATCATGGAAAAATTAGAAAAAGCCCAATGAACTTTTATATTTTGAGCAATTAATTTTCTGAACTTTTTATGAATAAGTAAATCTTTACACTTACAAAATAAAAGAGATACATAATATATCTCTCAATGTATCAAGGCATTAACATCAAATTACAATTAACCAATTAAACAAACAAAAAACATAGTTTGAGTTAGGGGTTGTTTACCAAATGCTTACTCGGGTAAGTGAACATCAAGTCACATTATCTTATCAAATGAATATGGTATAGACCAAGAATCTTACCTGGTAAGAGTAAGACAAGTACCAAGAGTTTTATCCAGTAAGTGAGGGCGGCGACTCTTACTATGGTAAACGCTTACCGGGTAAATTGTTGCACGTTTTGGTGGATTAAAATCTTACCCGGTAAGTAAATTAGTGTTAAATTTAACCGATAAGCGCTTATCGGGTAAAGACCATTTTTCCATCTATTTGATCAGTGAGGCAAGCAAATTGTGGCATATAACATTTTTTTTGGTTAAAATGATGTAAGTAACCAATTTTTAATAGTTTGATAGGTTATTTACTAAAAAAATGTGGAAATACTTGACCATTAAAAAAAAAATCATCATTCATAAAAAGTTCAGAGACTTGATAATAATTCAAAACGAAACTATTCTGAACTTTTGTTTGATTTAAATTTAGTATACAAATGATTTTTATAAATATATAATTCATTATTAACCAATTAAGTGTTTATAAAAATTAAGTTTTGGATTACACCATTTTAAAATGGGAAAATCACCAAAAATGATCAAAATATACCCAATATATTAACGAAATAACCATTTTCATCAAAATTGCAAAAATGTACACATGAATTGCCACCGGAGGCGATCCCCTTAAATTTGACCAAAAAAGTACAAACAATAATATAAAAAATAATTTTTTTGTGGGTCTCACATACCTCTCTTTAAGATACCACCTCGTTTTACGTAGATTTACCTTCGGGGGAGATCCAACCTTTAATGGATTGCCCCCAAGGATAGATCCACACAAAACGAGGCTTGTACATTAAAGAGAGGTACCTTAAAAGGAGCCACGTGGGATCCATCAAAATAATTTTTAATATTATTTTTTGGTCAACATAAGGGGGATCACTTCCTATGGTCATGGAATGCCCTCCGGGTGATTCGTGTGTATGTTTTTGCAATTTTGATGAAAAATAGTTATTTTGTTAATATATCGGGTATATTTTGATTATTTTTTTTAAAATTATTAAATACTTGTAATTTAGGAGATGTTTGAGATTGCTTATAAAAATAACTTATTGACTTATTCTGGTATGATACTGATAATATACACTCGAATTTTTAAATAAACAACTTATATCGATGTCAAATCAGTTTTTTTAAGAAGTTATCCAATCCCAAACACCTTATTTCCTCATGGTATGCGAACTCTGACGTTCGATAGCAATTGATAGAATTGGCATTGAAGCAAACAAGGTCAGTTACGTGTACGAGCAAATCCGTAATCTGAAACCACACTGTGATTTGATCAACTTATTCTGTCTTCTTATCTTTTGGTGCTTTCGATCAAACGATATTAGGTTATATCCTTGTGTACTTCAAGTTCCAGCACAATGCAGAGCATCAGAGATTTAGGGTTGTTTGTAGATGGACAGGTAATATGGATATCGTATTTAGGTTGCTGCCATTTTTATTTAATTTTGGATCAGATGATTGCGAATGAATGGATTGATCATTCAAACGTAACAACGGGTTCACTAATCGATCCAGAACCAATTCTGGATGGATCATAAATCAGTTCCATTTGTCCCAATCGAATGCTAATCTTATTATAAATCAGTATATCGCCTTCAAAACAATAACACCTGTCACCCATCTCTGCATCTCCAGTACATTCACAGATGCTACCGCCTCTTCAAGCTCGTTCATTGAAGTTGCTCACCCTCAAGGAAAGGGATAGTTGTCCCAAGATGAACCTCACCAAAAGGACAAAATACATTGATATCTAGTTATTTATTGGTCTATAGTTATGGTGGTTGTGACAACAACGAATATAAATGTGATATAATTTATATCAATTTGTATCATAACTGTTGGTTTTGGTCAATGTACATGGCTATTGAACTGAAAATTTTGAATTACAAAAGCACATCGGCTAAAATTTCGATGCCCTAGCAGGAGCTTGAACTAAAGAGGTGATGTTGGTTTTTACTGGGAGATGATGTTGAGGAGAGTGGCTCTGGTTCTAATCAAGTGCCTAAACGTGCACTCCAACCTGGTCTCCATGCATTCAAGCTGAGCCTCCACTCTTTCCAATCTACATTTTGCAATTTGCATATTGTCCAATTGGGTTGATGATCCATATTTACATAGAGTTTGCAGTGCAGCATCTATGCTATCCAATTCATAAAGAACCCCTTGTTCTTGTTGATCTTCACATGCTACCGTCCCCTTGTGTATCAGCTTTGATACCACAAGGGACCATCTGTTTGGCTTTGAAGCCGACAGGGAGAAGAATGACAACAAAGATTCAAAAACTGAAACAGTCATTTCACTAACTCCTATTACTGCCTTCATCACCGCTGCAAGCTGGTAGTCATCAGAATCCCCTACCACAAAGGAGCCATCACCGGTCATGTTATTATCAACTTGCTTCAAACTTGCAACCAACCCTTTAACATCTTTCTTCATCTTCTTTCTGAAACAATTGTATTTCATTATGCTGTTTTCGCTGCTCAACTCGCCTTTTCTTCTCCGAAGAGCACAATGAAGATCTCTAATGTGCTCTTTCATCTGTGTCACCATATCCCTTATGCTGCCACAAACATCCAAGAATTTCACTGATTCATCTATTAGATCTTCAACAAACTTCACGTTTTGTTGGCGAGCGATCAAAACTTGAGTGGCAGACAAATTTAGAAGATCATCAATGCATATGTAGAGCTTCATCAGCTGAGACAAACCACTGCAAATGGTCTCAGCAGATGGCTTGGCCGCCACAGCGTCCGTTTTGGCTGTGTTGAGCTCTTGTTCGATCCGAAGAGTGCTCGGATGTGATCTGCAAGGCAAGCTAATGGATTTAACTTGGCTTCTGATGCTAAATTTTGAAGAAACAGCCATTTTTCTTAGAAGGCAAAGTCAGGGTTTTGTTATGATGATAAGTTTGACCTCTATGCTCTGCTATATATATTTGCATATCAGGTCTCGGATATTATTTTTTAAAGTAGCTTCCCACGTAAGTTTATGGGTGAGTGGGGCAGAACATAAAATATTCACATGTGATGACCGGATGGGCTTTTGTTTCTTGTGTCGGGTGTTTGGCCTACGCAACAGCTTCCCGATGATATGCCAATTTCTATAGTTATGGGCAAACAACCTTTCACATGTACGTGGCACGCAAAGATTGTATCTTTGGCAAAAGAATTCTCTGTACATTCATGTGTGCATATATTGTAGTGAAGACGTATCTGGTCCATGTATGGAGTTATACCCACGTGTTGCCCCCACAAATATTGAAGCTTTTGTGTTGTTGGGGTGTCAATAAATTTGGGGAATGGTCCAAACGTCCGTCCCCTACCCTTATTTTATATTGACGTAACCGATTATTGGAGCCCATTTCATGGAACCATTAAGGGTGTGGCAGCTGCCTCGGAAAGAGTTGCCTGAGGCTGAGCAGATGAACCTTTTAGCAAAAGGACAAGGGAGAATATATAATTTTGCATGCTTGGGTTGTCTCACCTTTGTTTCCTTTCAGTTCTTAACGACAGCTATTAGATCTTATACTTTATATGATTTTATTGACATCTTCTCTACTGCTTTGCTGGAATTTATATTTCCATGACTGTTTCTGCATGTTATTTTAGTTAGAAAGATTAAAGGTCTTAAATCTGAATGTTATTCTTACTGTTACCAAGTGTATGCATCAACGGGTGGACCAAAAACATCCTCCTGAAAATATAAAATCTCATGATTTTACCTGTTTACGTTATTTTAGTTAGTTTTTTTCTGGGGACTAGCCCTGCAAAGGTTACTTGTCATCAAGAGGGTTTACTTGCAAATGAAAGTGGGAAATGCTAGATCCGTGGTGAAGTAGCCCTCCCATGTTTTCTGTAAAGTTGGAGGGACCCAGTGGCGGATGCAGAAAAATAAGTTGTAGGGGGCACGAAAAACCATCTGTCACGAAAGCATCACTTCCACATTGTCATACGTAATTATCTCTAAACAAATAACAACACAAACAAAAGGCTCTATCCGTTTTTACACTATACTCCAACCAATTAGCATATTGATCAAACCAAGTCGGACAAAAATGTCTTCCTTTACTCCCGACAATTTTTTTTGGAAATGCATGACTCCGTGGTTGACAAGGTCCTCGAAGCAAATATTTTCTCCTTATTTCATCCCTTTGATTAGGATGATATTCCGAAATCTTTTTCTTATCGGCCGGATCCCAAGGAAGATCGTTCAAATCAATTTCGCAAGGCATCGAAGGAGCAGAACTCGATTCAAGTGTTGATGCTTTCCTTTTAAAAAATCTTTCCATTTGATTTGCCTAATTACCTACAAAATTACTTACAAAATTA